TTTAATTAGAGTATAAATTTTATTTATTTCTTAATTTTCCTAGTAATTCTATAATTATCCCAGTCGTTTTAGTTATTCTGTAAATTTGCTCATTTTTTACACTGATTTTAATTACATTAATTATATTACCCTAAATCACTAATTCATTGCAAAACAAAAAGTAAAAAAAAGTACTATAGGGTGTAATAGTCTTTTTACATAAAAACTATCCCAATTAAAATACAATATTTCTTAAACAACGTTCAAAAAGCAAATGTAACATTTAAGATGGATGGAGGGAGTATAATATTAATAAGAGTATTTTTTTTTCTTTAATTTGCACTATATAAATATAATACTAATATTAAAAAATTTATATACAAATATTATTTGTAACCTTTGTTTGCTTAAAATTTGAATAAATTGTTGATTTAGTTTAAATTTTTATTTAAACATTATTTGATATAATATTTCTAAAAAAATAATATTCTCTTTTGTCCCCCAAAATATGCTCACTTCTTTTATACTTTACAAAGAAAGTGAACACAATTTTTATGGACGAAAAATATGTTTTTTTATTTTTATTGATTATCGTATGTAATAAATAGTAGTAATTTAAAATTTAAATCACAATCAAGCAAACATAATTGATGCGTAATTTAAAATATCTTGCTACAATTGGAAATATACATAGTGCCGTGAAATAGATAAAAATATCAAAAATAGGGAGTATATATTTTATTTTATTTTATTTTATTTTGAATAAAATAATAATTGAATTTAATAATTTGTATGAAAATTAGGATTAAATACAATTTTTTTTATTACAAAATTGATATATTAAATAATAAATATATAAAAAAAATAAAAATAATTCTAATTTATTTTTAAAAATAAAAATTAGACTATAGATGTGTTACATTGAATAGTACAAAAAATAAATGAAAACCAAAACAAAAGAACACAGACCAATGGGGAATTAAATTGTTTTTTGTGAAGATACTCTGCCACCAACCTTATCTCTAAAGTTCATTTTCTCAACTCAATTAAAAAAAATAAAAAATAAAAAATAAATAAATAAATAAAAAATAAATAAATAAATTACTATAGTTACTACTCATTTATTTTTTTGAAATAATAAATCAATAAAATTTTAGTTTTAATTTTTTGGAGGGTAATATTAATTCGTTTTGTCTTATATTTTAAGCATCGCTTAAGTGCTGATCATTTTTAATTCAATATTTTACTCGAGGGTTAAAAATTAGTTATATTTAATTAATATAATTAAATAATATAATAATATATAATTTTTTATAACTATTCAGTAGCTATTAAAAATATTAGTTCTATTTTTGCTTAAAGTATAAGACTAAGCTCATAATAACATTGATATATATTGGATGCATATATATATTCATATTTTTGAAGAAATTTCTATCTGAATATTTCGCAATTTTAAAAATTTCAAAATGATTGCTTTTTAACATAAATTTGCACATAGTTTGCGTTAATATGATTTATTTCTCAAATCTAATTTGCACTATATTAGATTCAGTGTAGTAGCTACGAATTTCTAAATTATATAAAAGAAAAAAAAAAAGAGACGATTCCAAAATAAGAAAAAACTATTTGTAATTTGTTTTTACATATATATATATATATTATTCAATTATTAATTCTTCAAAAATTATATATATATATAATACTTTTTTCATCCCTTAACAAATTATCTATTTTTTTTTATCTCATAATAAAATATTTATTTTTTTTAATAGCTTTACTATTTACTTAACATTAAAAATATATTTACAACTTACAATATATTACACAAATTGTCGTTACTTTTTATTTCATATAATACTAATAAGATTATTTTAATTTTTTCTACTACATATATCAATATAATACTAATATACATAAAATTCTGTATAAAAAATAAATAAATATTTAATTATGGGAGAAATTGGACGGAGGGAGTAGTTATTTTTATTTTAAAACCTCATATATAACCATCTCCTCTTAAAAGAGTATCAGTAAACAAGCATTGCATAAATAATGCAAAATTTGATCTTAATTTAAAAATATGTTTGAAACCACTTTGGCTATGTTTAGATACTCCTCCGTAGTTTAAATTTATATTCACTTTTTTTTTTTGGATTGTCGTAAAACAATATTTTTATTTTTTTAAAAAAAATAATAATTATTATTCATTTTTATTAAAACTCGTATCCGATTAAATGAATACATATTTGTATGACGAAAGAGTATTTTTTAAGCACATGGGATTTTAAAAGTATTAAAAAAAAAGGTTTAAAAGATATTTTTCAATGTAATAGTATTTTCTAATAAAAAATAAATATTTGATGTAATTTTTTTTTTCAAAAAAAAAAAACAAATAATGCCAACATTTTTGAAATTAAATATATATATTTTTAATCATTTTTAATAGCAGTTGATAAAAGTGCAATTTAAAAATATATAAATCAGCATATGAATCCAAAAAATAAAAAATAAAATAGTGAGTGTGTTTTTTCTAAATTTTATTTTAAATTTAGGGAAAAAATTAATTTTGGTCCCAATATAAAAAACTCATCAATTTTAGTTTCAATATAAACAATTTCAATCAATTTTGGTCCAATTATAAACAATTTCAATTAATTTTGATCCACCGTTAAAAAGCTACCGGAAATTGCTGACGTGGACATAACGGAAGTGACGTGGCAGTTGACCTGAAAAGTACACTGTCATGTTGTTACACGTATATTTCAGTGTATAATTATACATGGTCACGTTGTTACACGGCCATGTTGTTACATGACCATATATATTTCAGTGTATAATTATATATGACCATGTTGTTACACACCCATGTATAATACTACACGGCCGTGTACCTTTCTGTTTCGGTTAAATTTTTTTTTATTATATTTTTTAATTTAGAATAATTGATATAGTTAAAATGAAAAAAAAATCTATAATAATTATAATATAATTAAAATGTATTAATTTTAGTTTAAATATAAATATTTGTCGAGCATGTTTTTTTGGAAAATTTTGTCTAAAATTCTATTATTTTGCAAAAAAAATTTCTCTTATAAACATCCAATTACTGTATTGAAATAATAAATTAATTTTTAATATTACTATAATATATAAAACTAAAAAATAGTTGTGTAATTGAATGTTTGTAAGATAATTTTTTTTTTTATGAATAATAAAATTTTAGATAAAATATTTGAAAAGAATATATCTTAAAAAATTTTATATTTGAATTAAAAATTGATAAATTTTAATTATATTATAATTACTATTGATTTTGTCTATTTTAACTATATCAACTACACCATTTTAAATTCAAAATAATTTTTTTTTATTAAAAAAATATAACAAAAAGATAAAATTTTAAACTAAAATAGAAATATACATACATGGCCATGTAACAACATAACTGTGTATAATTGTACATAACCGTGTACTTTTCAGGTCAATTGCCACGTGACCTCTGAGACCTCTGTTATATCCACGTCATCAATTTCTATTAATTTTTTAACGGTGGGACAAGAATTGATTGAATCTGTTTATAATTGGGACCAAAATTGATTGAAATTATTTATATTGAGACTAAAATTGATGAATTTTTTATATTGTGACAAAAATTGATAAATTTTAATTATATTGATACTAAAATTGATTTTTTTCCTTCAATTTAAATTTAAATTATTTATTTATTCAATAAAATATTTTTTTGTTTTTTACAAAACAACCCACTGATATATTATTTTAATAAAAAAACTCAAATCTATAACCTAATTTTGAAGTACAAGATAATAAAAGTTTATAAATGCTAATAGTTGTAGCAGAAGAAAGAAAGTAATAAATAAATAGTGAATATGGATAAAAGGGAGCCAGGCTGGCAACGACCAAGGAGCCAGGCTGGCATCCACTCAACGGTCCGGAAATGAATGAATCGATGCGGACAGAATCATTGCTGTAAAAGCTCCATCTCCTTCCCCACTTCACAATTCACAAACACATAAATATCGCTCTACTTATATATTTTGAAAATTTTACTATTATTGTTTATTAATAATATTAAATATTTATTTTATTTTATTTTTAAAAAAATAGCACATAAAATATTTAATTTTTTTTATTATTTTTTAAAACTTGTATATGTACAACATATCTTTAATAATTATTTAATGCATATATTTTCTGTTATCACAGTGAGCGAGTGAAAGTGAGTACGCAATAAATTTGATACGAAGTATTTTATATTAATATAAAAACATCATTATATAATTCATTCCCGTCTTTGTAAAGATGGAAAATCTCAAAGTTTTTTTGTTTTTTTGCCGGACAGAGAGAGTATTTAGGGGTTTGTTTGTTTCAAAGATTTATCCAAAATTTTATTATTCATCTTTTTTTTTTAAAAAAAAAATCAAATCAAATATTTATTTTTTATTTTTTATATTATATTAAAAATTGATTTTATATTAAAAATATCACATCTAACACTTGTTTATATTACATCTTACTATTATTACAATTTAAATTTTTTATTATTTAAATCCCGATTCAAAATTCAATCTCTCGAACAATCACACCTTCAATGTATAAGGTTTGTCCGGTAAAGATAGTACAGTGCTGTGAAAATAGATTTATAACTTTAAAATTATAACTTAGTTTGCAATTTAGGTAAAATTGTTTTGAATTTGAATTAAAAAAAAAAAAAGAAAAAAAAAAGTGAAGTTGAAGTTGAGGTTTGATTGATCTGATCCTCTGATATCAACCCATACCATACAAGCTGGCTCCAGCTTGACTGGTACTAGTAAGTAGTACTACCTCTTTATTACAACACTGTACACCCACTCCACTCCACTTGCCCATATCCTCTCTAATTCTCACTGCCACCACCACCACCACCACCACGTCATTGCCATTTATTTTTTATTCTTATTTTTATTTATTTTATTACTCTCATAATAAACGCAACCCACCAACACCAACGCCAACACCAATACAATTCATTTTCTATCTCTCTCTCTATATATATAGAAAGAGAGTCGTGATTTGGTTTCAAATTCGCATATCATCATCGTACCAATCCATTCATACTAATAATACATACATACTGATACTGATACTGGTGATATTTGTTTCCATTCCATGGCTCCTCCATTCTCCAACAGTAATGCCTTGTTGTTCTTCTTCCTCATCTTACCTACAGTGCTCCTGGGCAGCAACTTGTACAACGACTTCGACCTCACATGGGGGGGTGATCAGCGCGCCAAGATCTTGGGCGGGGGGGAGCTCCTCTCCCTGTCCCTCGACAGGCTCTCCGGCGCCGGATTCCAGTCCAAGAAGGACTACTTGTTTGGGAGGATTGATATGCAGATCAAGCTCGTCGCCGGAAATTCCGCCGGCACCGTCACAGCCTACTACGTAAGTAGTAGTAGTAGTAGTAGTAGTAGTGGTAGTTCTATTCTATTCTATTCTATTCTATCTACGAGTATAATATAATCGAATTCTTGATAAAATGTAAAAATGAATGAATGAGTGCATGATATTGGTATTCATCCATCAGCTGTCCTCACAAGGGGCGAGCCACGACGAGATCGACTTCGAGTTCCTGGGCAACGTGTCGGGGGAGCCGTACATAATGCACACCAACGTGTACACCCAGGGCAAGGGCAACCGGGAGCAGCAATTCTATCTCTGGTTCGACCCCACTGCCAACTTCCACACTTACTCCGTCGTATGGAAGCCATGGCACGTCATGTCAGTACTCATTCATCAATTCAATATTCAATCCAATTCATTATTCATCAATCCAATCCAATCCATTCCATTCCAGATTCCTGGTGGACAACAGTCCTGTGAGGGTGTTCCGCAACGCCGAGTCCCTGGGCGTCCCCTTCCCCAAGGAGCAGCGCATGAAGATCTACTCGAGCCTGTGGAACGCGGACGACTGGGCCACTCGAGGCGGGCTGGTCAAGACCGACTGGTCCAAGGCGCCATTCACGGCCTACTACCGCAACTTCAAGGCGCAGGAGTGCACGGGGTCGTGCATGTCGGCCGGGGCGGAGGCATGGCAGAACCAGAAGGAGCTCGATGCCTACACCAGGCGGAGGCTAAGATGGGTTCAGAGGAATTTCATGATCTACAATTACTGCACCGATCAGAACCGTTTCCCGCAAGGCTTCCCTCCCGAATGCACACAATCATAGACTACTACTGCTGCTACTACTACTACACTCACTCCTTCCTACTTGCTTTGCTTCTTCTTCTGTGAAATGTCTTTTCCCTTTTTGCCATCCCTTCCCTTGTTTTATTGATTACTACTACTTATTATTGTACATTACTCCATATATCTATAATATGCAAATAAAATGTCATTATTTGTTTCCCTTCAAAAGCTACCTACAACAAAACAAATCAGGTCCACTCTTTTTAACAAGATAAAACAAACCAAACTATATTTATATTATTTTATAATTTTTATATCAAAATTCATATTTTATTATATTAAATTATGAATAAAATTAGATTTATTTAATTTATATATTAAAAGAATATATATAATTCAAATTTGAATTTGAATTCTTGAACAACAAGTCAAATACCGCTAACAAATTTGAGTCAAAGCTCGAGCAACATATACTAAAAACTCATTCCACTTGTTTTACCTCTCTTTCTTTCTTTCTACGAGACTTCCAAAAATCAACCATGTTTCCCAAAGAGTCAACCAACTTCAAATTGCTTTAGAATATACCTAAATCTAAAATACTTTCCAAGTGTATTTATACACATTAATAATGTAATCAATCAACTTAAACTCCATTATCACAACAATGCAACCTCGAGTATGGAGGGTACAAATTCATACATACAAAGCTATCTATGTTGTAAAAAGGTAGCTCAGCGCAAAAAAACCAACATCAGAGCAGAATTGAACAATGCACGCCCAGGACAACAAGCTCTTAGTATCCGAGGGACCATAAGTGCCGACATTTTCAATTTACTCGAGCTTTTTTTTCTGTACCACAAGGATCTAATACTAGAGTTCTCTCTTGAATACAATTAGAAAAATAAACTCTTGGCGGCATCAAGTCCTGCAGTAGATGCCATAGCAGAAAAATATTTCTCATGCCTTTTAACAGTTAATATCGATCACTATCATTGTAATGCAGATAGGAGTTGCTGAACATACCGGGATCCTGCAGTGAACATTGAGATCGTACTTCATTTGGCTGAGGCGTTCTTTAACTAGATTTTCTGCTTCGATTGCCCTATCGCATGCTTCTTTAATTGCAGCCTGCATCAAGAAACAGAAAGCATTGATCTGGTCAAAACATTTGAAACAAAATATGACCAGAGAAGTCGACAAGAATCTTAGTGCCAATAAATTTGAAGGTGAGTGTAACTCACTGGATTGAGTTGGCTGGTACTAAGGCCGCTGGTAATAAGGCCGTTTTCAATAATAACAGATTTCTGCAACATATTACCAAGGTTTGCTAATTCCTTCATTAGCACTGAGGCAACTTCTTCGGCATCATGCATCTGGTTCTGAGAAAATTCAAATGCTCTGTCAGCATTGAGACGGAAAGATGAACAAGCCAAACAAGTGCACAGCCCTCTGCATCCTAGTCGGTTTCTCTTTAATATTCCCTTGGAAGGACCGGTGTTGGGTATTTTGGATAGTGGCAGATTTTGGTTTGAATCTATTCTGCAAACCAAGTCTTCATTGTTGTTTTGAAACTCTAACTCTGCACATGACTGCCTCGTTGGCTTTGCAACGGTCGTGGATTTTTCAAAAGTAGACTCCTTACTTAAGGTATCATCATTCTCGATTGAGGATGGAGGAGGTAGAGGATTACTACTCTCCCTGTCAAAATCTGATTCCAACTTTCTGGGAGTTATCTGAGACTTTATGGTTTCCTCCATCTTTGTATCGTTCACTCCACACGGATCGTTTGGTGTTTGAGAAGAGATCAAATTTGGATCAACATTGGATGTATAGTTCAGCATTGATGAACTCAATCTAGCACTAGTACACGGCACCAAATCGGACAAAGGTTGGAGAGGGGTTGGGAAAGGCGATGAATTTTGCATCCCACTCTCTATATTGTGTTTCTCGCTTTGTTTGGCGGTAGGTGATGATACTGTTTGCAACTCTTCTTGTGAATCCACCAAAGCCACTGGACTTTGTGTTATCCCCGAGCCTGCTACAGATATCGACAAAGATCAGCTGGCTGCCAACTATATACACATCTCTACGTGAAACATTTAATTTCCCTTTGAAAAAAGAGGCTTACAGGTATTGTCTTTGCATATATCCATAAGAAATGGCAGGAGTCTTCTGTAGCTTACAGATCCCGGATTCTTGAACAGCCTCAATTGTGAACAAGGATTCAGAACCTGAGCAATTAAACAGATTTCAAAGATAGAAAAAAAGTCAGTAATAGGAAATCAAAATAGTGAATGCAATAGTTGTCTAAAGTCAGTTGAACTAAAATTGGAACAAGATATATGTTGGATGGAAAAGCTTCACCAATCGGTTTGGATTATCAGGCTTGCTGTTCCTTTCACTACCATTTGACAACCCTTTAAATTCTTGGTTCTCAGCTTGCACAGATTCTGTAGAATCTCCACAGTTGCCGAACCCCTTGGCAATAAAATCCAACTCCGGTGGTGTCATCTGATCGCATTCTTCTTCTGCTGTAGTATCGACACCATTAACACCTTTCCCATTACATAATATTTTCACTTCCACAGGTCCCATAATCTCCTTAGCTTGATCTAATTCACAAGTTGCCATAAACAACCTTTCCTCATGTAACTTTTCAACCTCTCCATTCTCCAGAGGACTTGCAACATCAAGATTTTTCGGTGGAGTATCAGAAATTACGCTATCCAACTTCTGCAACTCGCGAGAAATTCCCCCATCTACTAGTTCAACTTTTGAAACACCTACACAGATTTTTTAAGGGATTCAATACTAACGCCGCACAAGTTCTAAAAATTTCTACATGACAGAAGCAGAAGAGCACAGCGAAGAAGACATACTAGGGTCATCATCGTTTAGAATGTCCATCAGATGCGGAAGCAGTCTTCTGTAGCTGAAAGAGCTCGGCGTCTTGAAAACCTTCTTCCGTACAAGTTTGTTGACAGCCTGCATCAGAAAATTTACAATGCATTTACTTCGAACTTCAGATTTCATTCAATAGGATTTAGGGTAACACAATCGGTTTAGCCTAAAGAGCAATTCAATGTAGCAAAGTTACTCAATTACCATTTTATTTTCAGAAAAAGAAATCTCTCCCGAGCAAATCTTCGCGTCCACACCAATTTTCGAACCCTCTGGTTCATCGCGTGATTCCAATAGATTTTCCCTCGATCTGCCAAGCTCACCCCCCTCCGCATCACCTGCGCCTAAATCTGAATCTGGACTTGAATCATGAGCCGTATCTGAAGACCTCGTTAACAGCTCCTTCTCCGCCTTGTACTCCTCCTCCTCTTTCGGAATAACCGAAGTAATGTCTGGGGTGAAAACACGATGCATCCTAAGATCTTTAACAGACGAGCCACGTGAAGCATCGATGCGGATCGTATTCAGAAAATGCTTCACAGATTGAATCCCACGAAACGGTTCCCCGGGAACTGGACCAGACCTAAGCATCCCCGACCGATTCCGGCGGCAATGTATCTGGGACCGTCTGCGCGTAAGAACTCCTGTCAATGAATCCGAATTCGGCGCCGATGGAGAAGCCTTCTTTCTCTTCCGGCCGACAATCTTGAGGGACGACGATCCTTCCATAGATTCGCTGCAAATTTTTTCCTTTCGGAGAAGCATTCGGGGCTAGGGTTTGGATATTGTTGAAGAATATTAGGGAAGCTGCCGTTCCTCAGCGGCGCCAAAGTAAACCTCACTTTCCCGCGCTAAAAATATTGGGCAATAATATTAGACGCTTTAAAGGAAAAAAGTAAAATGCTATCAGCCTATCACAAAAAGTTCACCTCAAATGATTTGTTTGGCTTTTAAAAAACATAATCGTTAAGTCTAGCGGATGGTCGACGGGTGGTGCTAACTTCATTAAATCAATAAGACTCGTTTTGGCGTAGAAAACAAAATTGCAGATGAATGAAAATAAAAAATAAAATTGCAAAAAATAACTGATTCAGTAGGCAATTATAATTTATTTTATTTTTTGAAAAAAAAAATTAGTTGAAAAATGTGAGAATAGAGGTATTTGGATGAATCGATAAAAAAATAATTGATTAATCCGGAGATAAAAAAATTTTAATTAGTAAAAATTTATAAAAAATTACTTTTTGTCACTTTTGTTTAAATAATAAATCAGATATGATATTTTCTAAATAGTATAATATTTTTTAAAACTTGAATATTTGAATAATAAATTAAATGTGATGTTTTATAAGATTAAAATAATGTAATATTATATATATAACACAATTAAATCATACAAGAAATAAAAAATAAAATCAAATATACTATATTAATATACAATTTTCTGGATTTCTTTATATATGACAAGAAATAAAATTAGAAAATAAAAAATAATTTATTTTTTAAGTCTCAATTCTACTGAATCAAACAAGAAAAATAAAACTATTTTTATTTATCCAATCTCGTTTATCTGTACCAACACATTGAAAGTTAATTTCGAAGTATTACTAAATATTAATTTGAAACAATTAGCAAATCGTTAGTAGTAGTCTAGTATATATTGTGTTATATATTATAGTATTAATATTGCTACTTTCTATAAACAATTGATGATTGTATCAAATTAGTATTTTCTTTTATTAAAATCAGAATATATTATTTAAATATATGGTATATACTATATCGATATTTTTTATTTTTATTTTAGATACTCCCTCTGTTCCAACTATTTTGTTTCATTTAGCTTAGATTCGGAACTTTAGATATTTTGTAATTAATAAGTAATTAAGAAGTGTATTAGTGAAAATGACTATGATTTAATAAAAATAATTATAGATTAAAATTAAAATGACTAAATAGTTTAATTAAAATAAAAAATATAAATTATGAATTTTAAAATGTGATTAAAGTTTATAATTATATTTCTAGAAAACGAAAGTACAAATGACGTGAGACGAACGGAAATAGAAAGAGTGAACAAATTAAGTAAGACGGAGAAAATACTTGATAAATTAAGTTAAAATCAACACTATTGCTAATTTGACACAATAATACAGTAACCCAAGCGCTAGTGATGAGTAAAATATTTGAATTTGAATATTCTATTGAACCAAATCAAAATTTAATATTTGGTTAATATCTTTTGAATTTTTAAATTAAAACGAATTAAATATCTTATGAAATTTAGTTCGATTTGATGTATTAAAATTTTGAATCAATTCAAAATATAATATGTGTTAATATATTTTATTATTATATTCATTCAATTTCATTCAAGTATATCACTTTTCATAAAAAACAAAAATTAATACGGTTAATATTTACCTAATTTAAATTAATTAATTTTGCATAACTACTAGCTATTTATTACAATACTTTATCCATCTAATATATAATCAACTGAATATGAGGTTTAGCATTGTCCTTTTAGATGTAGATCATATGACTAGAACATGCAAATCATTTATCTTTTATAGTTGAAATAACCTGTAAGTACTACAAAACATTTATAAAAATTCTATCATGCTATCTTAAATTTCAAAAAGATAATTATGAAATTATGTGAATCAATGTGTTACTTTATTGATTATAAAACTTTTAATAATATATTTTGTGATTAAGTCAATTGTTTTTGTCTGTAAATTGCAAGTAGGTTCGTTGTTGCTCATTCTCTTAGCTGGAACAAAATGTGTGAAGAAAAATATTCATCTCTTTTCATCAATAAGGCACTACCATCGGATGCAAAGATAGGACAAATGACAGTGCACATAAATATCACTTTTGCAATAAATTTTTTATTTTGGAAACTTCTATGTGATTTTGTCTCACTAGATGTTAATTAGAACTTTTGCATCCCTCATATCAAATAAAACCATTTCTTTTCAATAAGAAGATTATTTTTCATTGTCTTGAATTTCAAGAATTTCTTCATAGCATCCTAAAACAATCGATTCAAGTAAAAATCTAAAGCATAGTAATTTGTTTGGAGCTGTTATAGATGGTTTTATGGTATTCGTGTGACCTTTAAGATCTCCATTTTAATGCAACGCCAAACCATTGACTTAGAGCAGTTTATGGTTGCGACAAGCTTTCGTATAGTGCCTCGCCTATGCGATTTAATATTTTCAATCAATCTGTAATCAATCATTTTCCTCGGTCATTTTTTTATTTCTCGTTTTACTAGACATTGCTTCTCCTCAGCTTTGTTGTTTATTTGCTTGTGACCACAAATGAGTTATAGTACGCCTACATGTCGAATAACACTTCATTGCTTCTGTAAACTTACCACGAACAGACTTTCCATTCATACAGTATTGCAGTAAGAATTGAACAATTGCATTCTTTGTGTCAATACTTATGTAAATTTTTCTTTCCCATTTGCAGGAATGATATGATCTAATGAATGGAGATGAAACACTGGATGAAACCAAACTCAAACATGTCCTTTACCGGGTTTGAATTCTCTTTCAATTGTTTATAAAGTTTGACCTGATGATTGAAAAAATATATGATAAAATCCACTAATTTTGAGCTTTTATGTAAATATGTATTGTAAATAATGATTCACCATTTTGTTATCATCTAAAATCCATAAAATTTAATACTCCCTCCGTCCATTTTCTATTATCCTGAAGTATATTTGCACGGTTTTTTAGGTAATTATCTTTTTGTATGAATCGACAAATTTGTCATTTATTATAAGGTAGAAATTAAAAGTAATAAATGAACGAAGGGTAAAAAAGTAAAATTTATATTAAAAAAAAGGAAATAGGACAGTAGTTATTGGACATCACAAATAAAAAAATAGGACATTAGTTCGTGGACAGAGGGAGTAGAAAACAAACCATGACATATATGTGAATCTTGCTGCAAGTTTCAATTTTCTGTTTTGGTGGTTGTCGTTGTTTTCTAAAAAACTGTTGTGATTTTGTGGAAGGGAAGATGAAGAATGTTTTTTTTAATATTTCTGCTTGCTTGTTGCTACTGTTTAGATTTCTAAATGCAGTGGGAATACAAATTGTGAAATGTAAAACTCTCTGCTCTTTGTTGTTGCTTATAATGGAAGTGTAAAATGTGGACAAGTTAATGTATGAATGTTTTTATAAATGTTTTATTGTGTGAAATGTGGATAGGTGTGTGTGCGCGTAGAGTATGTTGTTTAGTATTTGTACGTACACATAAAGGAATTTTGGGAGTGATTTATTTTAATGAAGTGATTAAAATTTTAAGTGGGAAAACTGAACTGGCGATGTTTTGATATATTTTTTTAAATTTTTAAAATAAATCTCTCTTGAATTTTAAGCTTTTTTTTTTTTTTGAAAAAAATATTTAAATTCACATTGATATCTAAATTTCAATATTTTTATAGATAATTAAATTAATAAATTATCTAAATATAATATTAATTTTTAAAAATTAATTAACACCTCTGTTATTTTTAAAATATTAAATTAGTATAAAAAATATATATACTCTTTTCATCTAAAAAATAGATGATATAATAAATAATAATATTAAATTGCAAGTGGGTATAAAGTAAAATAAAAATGACCAAATTGTCATTGTTTTATGAAGAGTTGAAAAAGTAGATTAAAGTAATAATTGTAGTAACATTTATGTAAATATTGTGAAAAAGTAGTAATAATTTTGTTGTATAATGGAGACCACGCATTACTAAATGGTAAAATATGTTTTTGGTACTTTTTATTTATATATGTGTCAATTTTAGTCTCTTATCATTAAAATGGTGATTTTGATCCCTTTTATTTATATTTGGATCAATTATAGTCCCCCAATTTTTAAAATGACAATTTTAATCCCTTATCAATTAATTTAATTCAGATTTAGTCCTTAATTATCATTTTCTCAAAAAAAAAAATAAAAAATTAATAGATATACTAGTTATATGCATTATCATACAAATAGACTATCCTTAAAAATAGTTTATAAAAATTATTCTCCTCGTAATATCTTTTTAACAAAAAATGTATATGTTATTATTTAATATCATGCTCCTATCTAAAAAAAGAAAAAAATATATAAATATTTCGTTTTCTTATGCTAAGAATTTAATTAAGACAAACAACTAGTTAACAACTATATTTATTTAGACTAATGATTTTTAAATTGGGTGTTTTAATTTTTTTTGAAAAGACTTGTTTGATAAAAAATATTTGCGTGAAGATATTTGAAAAAATTAATAATATAAATTAATATAAATAATGAATGATAATATGCTTCAGATGAAAATTATAAATTACCTCCGTTAAAAAAATAGGCTCATAACTTTTGAGGGTGAATTTTAATATTGTTTGTATTTTTTTTAATTATAATTTTTTATTAAAAATGAAAATTTATATATATGTTTATGCAACAAATGTAGTAATAATTATATTTGTTACTTTTAATTGAAACAATGGTTAAATACTGAAATTGAATTAATTTAATAAATAGGAGACCAAAATTATCATTCTAAAAATAGAGGGATTAAAATTGACACATTATTGAATAAAAGAGACCAAAAATATATTTTACCCGTCACTAAAAAAAAGTCTATTATTTTGAGACGGACGAAAATAGCAAAAACAAGACAACTTTTTAAAAACAGAGGGAATATATTATAATTTTTACATCAATTAAATTTATAATAATTAACTATCACATCAATTAAAATACGTTCTTTGTCCCAACTCAAACTACTATTTTTACAATTTTCGTCCGTCCCACTCCAAAGTATCTCTTTCTTATTTTAATAAAAG